GAGAATATCGAATAGCAATTTCGATATATCTCCAGGGTCTCTCTCGGAAAACAACTAGAAAAGATGGCTGTATATCTCTTGGAAGAAATAGAAAAAATGGTTGTTTTTTTAATGAACAAAAACGTTGAAATATTTATACGTTGAACAAACACAACCTTTCGAATGTAAAGAAGTTATGTCTGAACAGACACAACCTTCCAAAGGTTATGAGAGAGCCTAATTACCATTAGGCAGAAAATAAAAATTCGAAATTAAATTATTAAAAAATAACCGACACTCTATTGCGAACAGTCACTTGTTTCAATATGATAAGACAGTTATTTTATAATAATAAATTCGAAATTTAATAAATAAATAAAAATGATCGTTGATTAGTGCCAAATCTCGTCCACGTGCACACTCACATCCTTTCGATGTGGGACAAGGCACCTCATTGTTTGTTTTCCAAACAAACTACCAACAATCCCCCACTTTGTTTGTAAAACAAAATTGAAATAAAACGTTAAAAATATACGGCCAAAATTTCTGTGAGATTAATATACATAAATAAAGGTCTCTTTCGAGTTAAACCTTTACTTAGTGCAAGTATCTCAAAACTCTATCAAAGTGACAAGTAGCTCGGCTTTAAACTTGTACTTTTAAATAATAGAATCGGACATACCACACATATAATAACCTCTTGTTTCAGCGAGAAGTTCTATATTACTCAGCACTATTATGGCCATGTGCTTGTACCTGTTTCATGAGCTCTCTAGAAAGCAACCCCAACTTTCGTAAGAAGCGGCACCACTTCTAAGCTCATATAGGTGAAGTATCTTTCATGTGTTTCTGTTACTAATAACACATTTGAACCACACTTCATTAAGAATTTAATTCAACCTACAAACATAACAGAAGATATTGACTTCTCATGTCAGGGCTCATGTCAGTATCAAACAATCACTTAGTAACTTGTTTTTACCCATTAAACCTTGTAACTAGTGATGTTCTAGAAAAAGGTCGGGTTACCATTACTGGTGATTTTAATTAAAGGGTTTCAGCCTCGTTTCTTGTGAGATCATATTTACCATGTCTCTTGGTAAAGCCTTTGTCAAGGAATCAGCTAGATTATTGTTTGACCTCACGTAGACAATTGTTACGGTACCATCTTTAATCAATTGTCTCACATACTCATGCCTTAGGCTAATATGTCTAGACTTATCATTATAAGTGTTATTATAAGCTCCTGCCAAAATAGCCTAACTGTCACAATCAATAGAAATATGAGGCATAGGACTAGGTCATAATTTGATATCCAACAACAAATTCCTAATCCATTCAGCCTCTTTCTCAGTTGTTACTAAAGTAACAATTCAAATTCTATAGTTGAGTGAGTTATACACATTTGTTTCTTGCTCATCTAAGAAACAGCACACCCATCAAATGTGAAAATCCACCTAATAGTAGATTGTTTATCACCCACGCTTGTAATCCAATTAGTATCGATGTATCCTCCTAATACAACCGAATAATTATTATAGAACAGTCCCAAACTTTTTGTTCTCTATAATAACAAAAAAATTCGGGTAATAGCTTTCCAATGTTCTATACTTGGATTACAAATATACGTACTCAACTTACACACGAAATAAGCAATATTAGGTCTAATACAATGCATCACATACATTAAAGACCCTATAACACTTGCATATTCAAGTTGTGCTACTGCTTTACCAGTATTATAATTTAATTTAATACTGAAAGCAAATGGAGTACTCATTTCTTTGAAACCAAGATGTTGAATTTTATTCAACTTTTTTTTTTAATGTAAACACTTTGGCTCAAAGAATAACCCCCACTATGTTTTTAACTTTAATACCCAAGACAGTATCCACTTCACCCAAATCTTTCACTTTAAAAATGAAAGTCAGATACTTGCTAGTCTCAATGACTCCGGTCATATTGGTTCAAAAAAAATAAGCATATTATTAACGTATAAGCACACTAAAATATCATGAAAGAAGAAAAGCAACTTGCACATGCATTCTTCTGTTCCAAGGCCTTAGTGTCCTTTGAATCAATAGTGCAAAAACATTTTGAAAATGGTTAGCAGAATAGAATCAGATGTCTTGTTGATGAAAGTCATGCATACATGTCTTGGAAGCTCAGCACAACTATGGTTTGCTGCACCAGGAGACATCCAGAGACAGTAAGCCACCATAAGTACCTACAATCATCTTCATCTTCCACTCTGCTCCTCCCAAGTAATTGTTCGAATTTCTCATTCAAAACTTTCCAGTTTAAATCATAAAGTAGGCAACCTACCTCTTACAGGATGAAGAGTCTCATATATTTATGATAAATTTATAATTAAAATATTATAAATCGATACACTTATAATAAATAAAAAATAAAATCTCAAGTTAATATATTCATCAACTGTATTCAACTTAATAATTCGACGATAAAATTTAACGAAAATTAATGAAAGATAAATTTATTATAAATATATCAGTTAAAGTTTTTCATAATATTGACTTTAGATCTTATGGAATTCTCGAAATGGATTCAATCTCCCATTTCTCCAAAATACAAACAATTTTACGATTTATCTATTCATTTTAGGTTTTCACGCGCGTCTTTCGGTCAATTTTCGTAGGTCCGGGTTTTTTTTACCAGGGTCTATAAAATAAAGTGGACTTTCTCGTCATTGGACGATGTCCTTAATAATTGTGCTTTTGAGATCGGGATTCTCGGCGGAAGGAGGAGGAAGGTTGGATCTCTCTCTCTCTCTCTCTCTCTCTCTCTCTCGGGAAGTGAGATTTACTCACGACAGCTGCATGCAAAGAAGATTTGAGTTTCCGTTCAGGTGGGCTTGGGACGACCTAACGGGGCCTACTTTTTTTTTTTGGGTCGAACACGGGGCCTACTTGGACTTGCGTTTTCTGGGGCAAGTTGGGGTGAGGGCCACCACACCACAACACTTTGCGTGCGTGCGTGTGCGTGCAAAAAGACGGAGGAGGGACGATGATACGTTTAGCTCCCGACAACGGAGCACTTTCGAAGCAATGGGATATTATATATTATTCTCAACGTTTAGAGTTTGCCAACTTTGTTTTTTACTTAAGCCTAATAGAGACTAGATTCCGTCGTATTATACGAAGGAGCTCTCGACAATATCACTCATTGGCGTTCCCCAGTTCAAGGTCAAAGCGTCCAAGCTATCCAAAAGTGAAGTATCGAGCGTGGTGCTGTACTTCATGATTCAAATACTAACCTGACTGCTGAAAAATTTTCTTTGTGCAATACAATTTCTTGAACCTCTCCCGCCGTGGGTCATTCGATGCCTTGTCAATCTAAAGTATCAGTTTGTACAGAAAAAGGGTAATTGTGAAATTTATGATTAATGTATCCACAGCGGGAGACACCTTAATAAATAGAGACCCCTCTTCCATTCTTTTTATTTTATGCACTACTGGAGGCTATGAAGTCTTAGCTTGGGTATGCTTGATTTGGTATTTTGTCCAACACTAATCTTACGAAAAAAAGGTAAATTCCAAGTTGAAATATGATCACAAAGGCAGTCGATCCCTTTGCCGCAAGAGAATTTTCGAAAAGAAAGGTTAACCCAAAGTTGAAGTATCTAACGATTTTTTATACTAAAGTTGCATTATAACTTATTGTTGATTTATTATTTAAGATTGAAAAGGTCGTACTATAAATTTTAACCCGTGACTACACAAAAGGAAATAAGAAATAAGGATGGTAAGTTTGCGTAATAATTTTTTATTCTACAAAGAGTTCGTTTTAATGGACATATTCTTAATTAACAAACATCCTTTCTTGGACCATTGCGGTGCCGGTTTTTGGTTTGTATTGCTTTACATGGCAACAAATCCATTGCTATCGTAATAATATCTGCAAAAAAATACTAATATATATTAATGATTAATAATTAGTAAGTTAATTACGAAATAACAGAGTTTTTTTTTTGGTAATGACAAAATAACATTGTTTTTTTTTTATAACCGAGGTGTCCACGCGGCCGGCGAGCTAGGGCTCAAACCAGCGGTGATGCCCGACTAGTCCTCGAGGGGGGCTAGCGCAGCAAACGAAATAACATAGTTCATCTATGTAAAGTCCAATAACAGATTATTACCTGCGTTAGTAGTAAAATAATATGGAAATAATAATTTTACCTCTATATAGTTTACCAAAATAATAGATTATCATCAACTTTACCAATTTCTGATTTTTTACAAGACGAAATTAATTTAGGATAAATGTGTCATGGGATACAAGTTGGGAGTTTTTTGTTGGACAAAAATTGATTTCGGATAAATGTAGCTTGAGGTTCCAGTTTGGCATTTTAATAGTCTTAGCATGAGAAAAGTTCGGATCACAAATTTAGCATCATGTTTATACCAATAGAGTTTTATACCCGCGCAATCCTAGTTATAATTTAAATCAAAGATACATATAAACAAGCTAAGGAAGTTAGTATCCTAGGACACTCACCCTCAAGTTGGTGTGGGAAAATCCACGATGCCTTTTACTTCTTAATAGCATCATTAAAAGATTTGCGAGTCCCTCAAAGAAATTACCAATGATACTTATTAATTTCTCTCTTTCCTTTTAGCTACTAAATCAAACTGTCATTAAATGTGACAATGCATTATATGTGTATTGCACTTAATACACTACCGAACCTTATATTATGTGGATTTCAAATGGAGTTCATCAAACAAAAGGAGAATGTATCTTCCATAGTAGTCCTCAACATAATCATCCTTTCACATACTAAACAAAGACGAGAGGAAAAAGATAAGTTGAACACTAAAAACACACTCTGTATATCCATCTGATAACACAAAGCACTTCTTCAAAGTTGGGCAAGTTTCTCCAACTCTCGAATTTTTCTATTACAGATGCCAAATATAATCAATAATGGCTTCAACCCAGGTAAGATGCAAGCAATTGGTTAGCAAAAAAGGGGCCAGTTTTACCTTTTGAACAAGCTTCTATTCGCGTTGTACAAATGTTCTCTTGAGCCAAAGCTTGGCGATCATCATTGTCATTGAGAATATCTCCATGGCCTTATCCATCGCTCGAAAGTAAGAGACCCTCCAAGATTGCTTGAAGTGCAAGATGCTACAGAATCCCAGAAATCCCACGGTAAAACCTGGTCCCAATCCTGCATAGAACCAATTGTGGATGTCCAAATTACCTTCGCTAGGCTTATCTCCACTCGAATTATCACCGTCAGTACCGGATGGCTCATCTCCAGGACAAATCTTGGAAAGAGGAGCTCCACGGAGTCCGTCGTTGTCGTGATAAATAGATTCATTGTCCATGGTGCACAGATGGTTGCTTGATGGAATAGAGCCAGAGAGTCTGTTGAAGGACAGATTCAGATAACTAAGGAAGTCTATGTTGGATGTGCCTAGGGGGATGGTACTTGACAGTTTGTTTCTGGATAGATCAAGAGATTCCAAGTTTTTCAAGTCACTAATGTTTGAGGGGATGTGTCCACTCAAATTATTTTGAGAGAGGTTGAGATTTTGAAGTTTGACGAGCCTAATAAACTCTTCTGGTATTTGCCCATCCAACATGTTTGCTGAAAGATCGATTGAGAAGAAGTATGACAGCGCATTTCCATATATTTGGCTGGTTCCCTTTGTGTCAACCAGGACATTAAGACCGATAACCACCGGCAAATTCTCATGATGACGCGCATTATCAACCATAGACAAGAAGCCATCAAAACAATTGGGAATGGGTTTTGAAACCTCATTTTGTGCTAGGCTCAAGAAATGGAGATAGCTAAGTCGGCAAAGTTGTGGAGGAATGCCTCCAACGAAGTGATTTTCCTCTAAACTGATCAGTCCCAATGATCAAGAATGTTTCCCAAATGGAGGTAACCTACCTGTGAATTCATTGTCGCCGAGATCAAGGATGATCATCTGTTGTAGATTTGACAAACAGTTTGGGATTTCTCCACTGTAGCCATTCCTATGTAGGCTAAGAAATTGTAATTGCTGAAGATGGCACAAAGATTTCGGAATCTGACAATTTTACTTGTTATGCCCAAATAAAAAAGTTTTCAATCTTTGCGATGCTCCCCAACATCGAGGCAGTCTCCCAGGCAGTTGGTTATTTGAGAGATCGATTTGAAACAGCTTATTCAACTTACACAGAACTTGGAATGCCACTGCTAAGATTATTACCAGAAAGTCTCAAAGTTAATAAACTGTGGCATCTTGTCTCCGATATCCTGGGGAACTTCGCCTCTGAGCATGTTGCTTGAGATATCCAAAATGTCCATGTTAGAGGAAATGTCGTAGAGCCAATTAGGATTGTCATCCGAGATGCTCGCATTTGACATCGCTAAAAAGGTCATGGTTCCTATGTGTTTGAAGCCATCTTGGAAATTCAGGTCCCACTTTGCAATTTGACAAATCTATATTGCGAGTGTGGAATGGTGGAACCAAGGTAGATATCACATTTAACTTGAGTTGATTGGAGGAAATGTCTAAGATGGTCAACCTTTTGAGATTTTCGAAGTGAAGTTCGGTTACAACTCCATACAATAAGTTCTGCTCAAAGAAGAGCCATTTAAGATTGGATAGTTGCCCAATACTCTCTGGAATGTTGCCGCTCACTTTATTTTCGCTTAGATCCAATTCTCTTAGACAAAATAGCTCCCCCAAATTGCTAGGAATAGAACCAAAAATCAAGTTCATTGAAAGATCAAGGTACTCTAGTTCTTTAAAATTTCCAAATTGATTTGGTAGGTCACCTCTAAATCCATTGTTGGAAACATCAAAGATCTTCCACTTACTTTGTACCCAACTGAGAGAACCATCTAAAATGCTGGAGATGTTCCCATAGAAGCGGTTATCGCGTAATTGTACCACTTGCAATTTGTATAAACTGCTCAAGTTTTTTGGAAAATCGCCTTGTAGCCAATTTGAACACACGTCAAAAAAGGCAAGTCTTTGATTATTCTCGATGATTGCTGTGGGAAAAGGGCCTTTGTAGTTAGCCAAAAATATATGGCCTTTGTGGTTAGATAGTTTGCCAGACAAATCAATATGTTCAAGCTTGCTAAAGTTTTAGATCCATTGCGGAATAGAACTTATATTATTGGACCCGATATTGAGGAATCTAAGAGAGGTGAAATTGGCCTGCAAAGAGCTAGAAATATCTTACAATACACAGCTGCTCAATCCTAAAGATTGCAAAGATGAAAGCATGTTAATGGAACCAAACCAATCTACGGCCTTAGAAAGGTCAACATCGGAAATGTGCAAGAATCTCAAGGAAGATAATTTCGACACCCAATCAAGGTTATTCGAGGTTAAATAACCCAGAAGCAAGTCACTACTTAGATCTAAGTACTATAACTTGGAAAGCTTGTTGAGCTGCCTAGGTATCAGTCCATCAAAGCCTGCATATGAGAGGTTAATACACTTCAGTTTCTGAAGAGAAGCAAAGAACATTGGGATTTTTTGGGTTGAAAAGTTGTTGACACTGAGATGCAGATACTTCAGATACTTCAGTTCAGTTAAAGAAGGAATTATGGGACCTCCCAACCTGCACTTATCTGAAGGTATGAAAATGTCAATCTCTTCAATACATGGATTGTGAAGATCGAGCTTTAGACCATGGCCGATCTTCTTGTTGCATTCGACTCCTTTCCACTTGCAACATTCCTCTCCATTCTACGACGATAGGCATCTCCAAGGATCAGTGAGACCATGCTTGAACTTTAGAAGAGCTTCCCTCTCTACACTAATACAACTTACATTGGTCAAAGCATTGGAATGACCGAATTTGATTACTTGAACGGCAAAGATTGCCAATAAGAAGGTAGACTCAAGGCCATCGTAAGACGCCATAGGTTCTTTAGGACCTGAGAACAAGTATTGATTTAATCATGTCTTTGATTCACCAAGAAAAGAGTCACTATAAATATTGCTGACACCTATTTTTAATTACCCAAAATTAATTGCACAAAATTTAAGAGTTAATTTTCTTTAATTCCTAAAACAAAAAATATTTCTATTTAATTACATTGCATATAGCTATTAAGCACATTTGCATTAATAGGATCAATTAGAACATATTTTCTTAATTAATTTAAAAAATTATAAAAAAAATTCAAAAAAATAATAATAATAATAATCTGGGTCGGGCTCGGTCGACCCGGCCCTTTCCTTTCTTTCCCTTGCGGGGGCCCAGCCCGCCCCTCCATTTTCTTCTTCCCCCTCCGTACGAGCCGGGCCCAGCCCGGCCCGGCTTCTCTTTCTTTCCCTACTGCTAGCCTCTCCTCCCACTTGCTCTGTTTTCCCCTGCATCTGACCGGGGATTCAACCAACGGCGGAGCGGCCCTCACCGTCCCTATTAGCCAGAGAATGGCCAAAGGAGCACGGCAACGGACTAGCATTCATGGCCAGTCCCATCCACCTTTTTTCCCGGACTCCCCTCTCTTCTCCTTCCTCTCCCCCCCCCCCCCCCGACCAGAACAAAGGCCCTGCACCAGCCTAAACTGGCCATAAAAGTCTTGAGTAGGCAGAGGCCAGTTCAAGCCATTAATGGAGGGGATAGAGGGGCAGAGGTGCATCGTCGTCGACTATATAAGCCAGCGAGAGAGAGAGAGAGAGAGAGAGAGCAAAGGTCGGTTTCCTTTGAACAAAAAACAGAGAAAGAGAGAAAGAGAAGAAGAGAGAGAATCGGAGAGAAATAGAGAGAAAATGAGAGGTTTGAGAGTTTATAGGGACTAAGAAGGATGCCAGCCAGCCTCCCTGTTGCCCGCAAACCGGCCAACGACCCCCGAAAGCAACCCTAACCATTGAGTTTTCCCCGAGCTCCTCTATCTGCCCCTGTTTTTGTGCGCAGTTTGGCCGGGACTTGCGCCGGCTATTTCGCGCGAATTCTGGCCTTTACCGTCTTTACCTTCGATCCATACATTGCATCGAAGGTGAGCGATGGTCACCGAAGTTGGCCGAGCACCTAAAATAGGTCGAAATTCCCTTTTTTTAGTCGTGCATGCCATGTGTTTGTTGAAATGCCTCAATGAGGCTGATTTAGTTTTGGTTGGGGCTGACTGGAGAGGGAGGACGACAGCGATCGTGGCCGCCGGTCCTGACTCGCCAAGCACTGGACGTCACCTGGCGTGGACACCAGGTCGACGCTGGCGCCTCTCAGCAGCCCAGTGATGGCCGGCCGAGCGGAGTCCTGAAACCAGAACAGAGAAGTCAGATCTGTGAAGAGGAGAAGTCGGGTCGGATCCGGGTCAGGCAAGGAGCATGATCCGATTCAGGACCTAGGTTAACCTCGACCCGAGTCAACGAATTGGGTTGGTTCCAACCGACCCAGTCTGCCGACCCGACCTGGTTTATTATTATACTAATATTTTTATTATTTTTAATTAAAAATTATTTTTTATTATGATTATTATTATTATTATTATTATTTCTAAAAAAATATTAAAAATTAATTTAAAAAATTGAATTTTTTTATTTTCCTTTTAAAATTAGGATATAATTTAGATATAGTATTGTCTAATATTTTTCTAAATTCTGTGATATATATTAATGTTTTAAATTGATGTTGTATTATTATTATGCATGTTGTTTTTAATTAAAGTATAATTGCATAAATTGTCATATTTTGAATTTTGTCGCCTTAGTTAGGATTAGAGCCCTAGGCTGCATATCTATCTTGACTGCTAATCGTTTATGATTATGCACTCGCTTGATCACCTCACATGTTAGGGGAAATGTCCTAAAATCAATTCAAATTGTTTGATAAATATTTTCAGAAATGAAAAGGGTAAAAAGGTACCGAAAGGGCATGAGTTATCTAACTAGTGTAACCAAGTCTCCGAACTCATTTAATCTCTGGTTCGTAGGAGTAGGGTGGTTTTCCCGTCACCTTATTTGGATTTCTAATCAACCTACCCCAAATTGATTAGTGGCAACTCCTTAATAAAAATCAATTTCAGGTTAAAAATCTAAATAAGTGGCGATATAGTATAGGCTTGGGAGAGCTTGAGTTAAGTCTAGAACCTAGACTTAGCGTGTACCAGGCGATCTCCCCCCCTCCCCTCTTTTATGTTCAACAAAAGCCCCGAGGTCGATCGCGACAAACTGATGACTCCGTTGGGGACTTTATATTTTTAAGTGAACTTAAGCCAAAAAATTTTATCCTATTCAAAAGCACTTTTGTTTGGCAGCAAGGATTCTAGGTATGACCCTGACATTAAGGTGTTAAATGTTCTTTTAGTTTTGAATTGATTGTTTATGAATTGTTGTGCATGCTTTAATGATTTAACACTACACTGTTGCACACACAATCATGCCGCTGAACCTGGGCCGCGATAGGGCATTTTAGGATGGTGTTAAGAAAGATACGACCTCGAACGCGAGCCTGTGATGTAGAGGTTGCCTTTATTTTCCCCAAAATTTCTTTCTAAAAAAAATTGTAAGGAAATATCTTTAGCCGTTATTCACGTGACTATAAGATATTTCTTTCGATTTGACTGAAGTTAAAAGGACTTGACACCAACGCGAGACTACGATAGTCAGGCACCCTTTTAGCTTCACTTTACTAAACCAATCTCGATAGAAATCAAACCTCACTTTTCATGCGCATGTCTCTGTGATTGCCATGGTTCCCGGTAAAGTAAGTTTTCTATTCATGCACTTTGCAATTTACTTATTTTTGTATATCCCGGTTGGTCCATGATTAATCTAGGTTAGTTGTGGATTTGATACCGCGATCATTTTGGAAGAAATAGTTACTAAAATTTTTTCAGAATATTTACTTCCCATTCACTCTCTCATATAAATCATTATTTTCCCATGCAATTTCTTGTCCTTTTCAAAAAAAGAGAAAATTGTGCATAAATAAAAAGAAACGTGCCCCGGTAACACTACTAGCACCTCGGCTTGGTGGTACCTGGGGGTGAAGGCGATCCGAAAGACCGGGGTTCAAACCCCGAAGACAACAACTAGGTTGCTGTTGTTGTAAAAAAATAAATAAAAAAATTTTGGGTTCTCTTATTTATTTGCAAAAGAAAGAGAATACATGATAAATAGAGTAAAAAATATAGTACTAGCCTAAGTCATGGACTGATCTCTTATGAGGTCTTATACTCATTCATTGCCACTTCTTGACAGGTAGTTACAAATTGTACCCATTCACCAATCAAAAATGGCCAAGGAAAACGTGCCGATCGTCTTACTAACGTGGAAAGCGAGATGAAGAGGGTGTCCTCAACGTGATTGAAAATCTCGCAAAGCAGGTGGAGTCCATTCATGGCAAACTCACACCCACATCTGCATTAATTGAGGTGATGTTATCGCGACCGTCTACTGGAAAAGAGCAAGCCTC